TTGTGGGGGGGTAGAGGTACGGGTTAGGGTTAGGATAGGAGCTGTGGGGGGGTAGAGGTACGGGTTAGGGTTAGGATAGGAGACCTTACTTGTGGAAGTTCTTGTCGGTCTCCTCCAGGTGGAGAAGGATCTCTTCGGCACATTCGGTCGACGAGGCGCAAGAAATTTTGTCGTTGATGCTTCCCAGGAGCTGTTTGAGGAGGGACTGAAGCTCTGCTTCATCCTCAGACGACAACTGGGACATCTTTCATGTGCTACACAACAGATGACAAAGAACCAGTTTAGTTAGTTTGACATATTACTCAACTTTCATCTGTGGCTCAAGCATATAAACATGTAGAATAAAAAAAATTTTTGTTTGAAGGTGGTTAAAATCTGATATTTTCAGTCAGTAACACGTGTGTTTTTTCTAAAGAATAGAGTTCTATCACACGTTCATTGACAAGCATATAGCAGATTTCTAAAGTATTGCTAAAGCTCATAAACCATTCAATCTGAGTGATGGTATAATGACTTTTCCTTTTTTTCTTTCTAATTGAGACAAGATTCTGGTGGTTGAGTTTGCATGGGTTTCAAACAGGATTCTCCTGCCTATAATATGTTTCAGAAAAGTTCATTTTATCAATCAAGCACAAATTAAATACCTCTCCTCCTAAACAACAATGTTTGCCCTCAGATACAATCTTACTTTTGCCCCAAAGTCTATATAACAACGTTTTTAGGGGACCCTCCATCCTCAGTACACCACCAACATCCCTCATATAAAGTGGTACTAATGGAGAGATGAAAGGATGGGTATACAAAAAGAGAAGCATCTATTCAGAATATTATAAATGTGTATTTGGGAATCAAAAAGGCACCAACATTAAAAGTTTATCTATTTCTGCCATTGAAACCATTTTCAATGGCCATTTTTCTTTTATTAAATGACATATGATTTCTATAATCAAATCCATAACGAAACTAATAAAAAATATAATTAGTTTTGATTGTAACTTGATGCAAGTTTGAAAAACATGACTTACTTTATGGTCAAATACTGTGTTTACCTTGGAGCTAAACCCTTTCTTTCGTTAGCTTGATGCTAAACACTTTTTAGTGTTTTGCTAACGAAACACTACATGAGCTAAACTAAAGCTAAAACCATCCACGCTGCACAAACCGTCCGAAAACAGTGAGGAGTTGACTACCAAAAGTCACCTTTTATATCCGTACTACTAAACGTTTTTCATCCAGGTAGCCTTTTGGCAGCCTGAGCCAGCAGCTGCGTCTCTATGGAAACCTTCACATCGTTTTCCTCCGGTGCATTGTGGGATGTTGTTGTGCCATTTACTGAACCACTTCAGCGTCGAAAATATAACGATTCAACCAGCTATGACGGAAAGGTATGCTTGGTATTACATTTTTTCACACCTATAATTAAAATAACCGAATCACCTTACTGATAAATCGACTAATTGAGATTATAATTGATGAATAATCTATAAATGTACACATTTTGAACTAGTCTGTCCGTTTTTCTCACGTGGTTTTGAAAGCAGCGCCGGCGGTTGACGTGGTCACGTGATCCAATGTTTTGCTACGTTACCGGG